TTCTTATACCATATTGAAACATCAGCCCTTTACAAAGAAGCGTGCAGAAAATAATCTAAACTACTATATCAAGCCAAGGATTCAAAATTTTTTGGAAAGTAGTGTTATTTTATTTCTCAGTCTCAACTATTTCTTCATAGGTGGCACACCGTGAAACTCATGAAATCCATTAATCTATTATACCATTTGGATCCGTTCTTATTTCCATTTTCATGGGATGTACCACAAGTTTATCCCGTGGAAAGTATAGATTTCCTCAAACCTCTAAAGGGCAACAAAGGAAAGTGTAGGTCCACTACTTAGCGGGAAGGAGAGCTAATAACTGACAATACCAAGAAGGCTGAAGTGTTTAATTCCTGTTTTGCTTCAGTCTTCACTAAAAATTTTAATTTTGACGAGGTGCTTAACAGAACAACAACAAGGGGGAAGAAACACAAGACAGAAAGGGCAAAGAACAGGCAGAATATGTTAGAGAATATTTAGAAAAAACTAGAATATATTGATAAGATAGATGTATTCAAGTCATCAAGGCCTGCCAAATTCACCCTAGGGTACTTAAAGAACTAGCTGAACCAACCTCAGAACCGTTAGCAATTATCTTTGAGAAATCATGGAGGATGAGTGATGTCCCAGAGGACTGGGAAAGGGCAAACAGTTTCTTTCTATAAAAAGGGAACAAATAGAACTCGGGGAATTATAGACCGGTCAACCTAACTTCAATACTTTCAAAACATTCTGGAGCAAATTATCACACAATAAATTTGTAAGTACCTAGAGGATAGTAGGGTGATAAGTAATAGCCAGCATAGATTTGTCAAGAACAAACCATGTCAAACCAACTTAATTTCCTTCTTTGACTGGATGACTGATTTAGTGGATAGGAAAGAAGCAGTAGATGTGATGTATCTTGATTTTATTAAGGCTTTTGACATAGTCAAGCACAATAGTCTCATAAGCAAATGAGAGAAATGTGGTCTAGATGAAATTACTATAAGGTGGGTGCACAACTAGTTGAAAAACTGTACTCAGAATAGTTATCTATGGTTTACAGTCAAAATGGGAGGACGTTGTAGTGAAGTCAATGACTCACTAGCACAGCGCCTCCTGCTGGTCATTTTGGGAACTAGCTCTCCAGCATAAGGAGTGCCCTCTGTAGGCTGGTGCCTTACCTGCCACTGGCCCCTGTGTCCCTCCCAGACCCTGATGCCCCTTTATCTTGGGGTGCTGCCCCCTGACAATGTCCCCACACTCTGGGTCTCCCCTCCCAGGGAACCCCCAACCCTCTAACACCCCCTTGCATCAGGGGCTACTGCCAGTCATCATCTAGCCCCTGCTCACTGGGGCAGACTGCAGTCTGTAAACCACTCATTACTGGCAAGGGGGGTTTGGACTTGCTGCCTCTGCCTAACTACAGGCCACACCTTTGCAACCCCAGTACCTGTTTTGGCCTTTGACCAGGCCCGCAGCCTCAGGATTTGCCAGGCTGGAGCACCCCAGCTCCTCCTCCCTTTCCCCAGCACTGCTCAGTCTCAAGTTCCCTTCTCTCCTAGGCAGCCAGGTCCTTCTCTCTCAAGAGCTAGAGAAAGATTAACTTAGCTGCTGGTTCACAGCCCTTTTATAGGGCCAGCTGTCTCCTAATTGGGCGTAGACACAGCTGTGGCTGCCTTCCCAATCAGACTTTTCTTATTGGCTCTCAGCCTCAGCCCTCTCCAAGGGCTGGCTTTTACCCCGTTCAGGGCCGGAGCAGGGTGACTGCCCCACTACAGGCGTATCTAATGGGGTCCTGTAAGGATCAGTCCTGGGTCTGGCACTATTCAGTATTTTCATTAGTGACTTGGAAAACGGAATAGAGAGTCTGCTTATAAAATCTATGGATGACACTAAGCTGGGAGGGGTTCCTAGCACTTTGGAGGACAGGATTAGAATTCAAAATGACCTTGACAAATTGGAGAATTTGTCTGAAATCAACAAGATGAAATTCAATAAAGACAAACACAAAGTACTACACTTAAGAAGGAAAAAAATCAAACGTACAGCTACAAAATAAGAAATAACTGGCTAGGGGATAGTACTGCAGAAAAGTTATAGGGTTATAGTAGATCACAGATTGAATATGAACCAACAATTTGTAGTTGTGAAAAATTCTGGGGTATATTAACAGGAATGTCATACATAAGAGAACATCGGAGTTAATTGTTCCACTCTTCTCGACACTGGTGAGGCCTTAGCTAGAGTACTGTGCCTAGTTTTGGGCACCACACTTTAAGAAAGATGTGGACAAATTGGAGAGAGTCCAGAGGAGAGCAACAAAAATGATAAAAGGTTTAGAAAACCTGACCTATGAGGAAAGATTTAAAAAACTGGGCTTGTTTAGTATTGAGAAAAGTAGATTGAGGGGGAACTGAAAACAGTTTTCAAATGCATTGCGGACTGTTCTAAACGGCTGTGATCAATTGTTCTCCATATCCACTGGAGGTAGGACAAGAAGTAATCAGCATACTTCGCAGCAAGGGAGATTTAGGTTAGATATAAGGAAAAACTTTCTAACTATAAGGATAGTTTAGCACGGGATTAGGCTTCCAAAAGAGGCTGTGGGATCCCCATCATTAGAGGTTTTTTAAGCTCTGTTTAGACAAACACCTGTCAGGGCTAGCTAGTCTAGGTTTACTTGGTCTAGCTTCAGTGGGGGGGATGGACTAGATGACCTCTCAAGGTCTCTTCCAGCCCTACATTTCTATGATTCTATTAAATCCTACCATACTTTCTTACTCTGAAACATTTTCTTTCCTGAAAGCCTCCTTTGCGTCATTGCCACCACCCTTAATTGAATCTAAAATCACTATCTTGCAACTGCACTATACAGACACAACCATGCAGAGATAATCCCAAGAATGCAGTTGTGGAATTGGAGCCAAAAATACCAAAATAAATATTTTAAGCTGTATTTTTATATGTCCACACTTTGCATGCTTTTGGGGTACACAGTGAGATTATTTGATGGTTTACCTCAACCTTCTTCGGAGGAAATGCAGAAAAGATGACTTAGAAATAATGTATACAATACATTTTGCATTGCTTTTGTGCTAACATTTTAAGCATGTGTTCTAATCAGGAACCTTTTTATATCCCACCTAAATTTCATTTCCTCAGTGATGGATATAAATATAAAAGATGGTGTTGAACCAGTAGAAATCATAGGTTTCAGAGTAGCAGCCGTGTTAGCCTGTATTCGCAAAAAGAAAAGGAGTACTTTTTAATAGAAATCGTATCACTTTAATTTAAATTTATGACCTATACTCATCAGGGAAAAGTAAGTACAGTATCCAGCTGGACCATGTAGATTTATTGTACTACTCCAATACCACTCTATGTCAAAAATAAAATAGGCCACTACTTGAAGGCAACCTGAGGGAATGTAGTTCAATTTATATTAAAAAATACCTGTCTGCTAGTTGGAATTGTTTGTAATGGAATATACCATATCCCACTAACCTCTGCACATTCCTAACACCAAAATAATTTTAGAATTCCAAATACACAATAAATGGGATAATTTGGAAGCATTTCCACCTTTGGACCAAAATTTGTGGGCTCATGTTTCATAGTAGAATCTGGGCATACACAATAGAGGTTAACATTTCTATTGGCTGTACTATCCTGCAGATGACATAATGAACTAATGTCTCAATTTGCCTGTTCCTGATGAGTTGTTCAGGTAAATGATAAAGATCTAATGAATTAAAGTAAAGACTAATGGCTAACAGATGTACAGACACTATCCACTCTGTTAATTAATGCCTGTATATATATTATGTGGAACTAGTTCAAATTACTGTATGTGGAAAGTTTACATATTGGAACTGTGTTTAGAGTGTCAGTGTACAGCTCAATGAAAGCATTTCAGATATATTATGAAAAGTGCTTTCAAATAGCTAATAAAACTGTGGCATTTATTCATGACCTACAAGTCCTAATTAACTTTCCTCCATTATGAAATTTCTCTTCTCCTCAAAGACTAAGTAAGTGAAGGCAGCATTTTTACGATCACATGCAAAAATGTAAGATTATATCTAATTTTCCAATGGCATATTTAAAAAAGTACAAATACATAAAATTAATATTGCTGATAAAATGTTCTTCGGTCTGTAGAGACTCGTTTAACAAAGTAACTTCAGAAAAATTTAATATGGATAAACTATGGCATATTTAAAATTCTTGATAGTTTACTGAATTGCCATTTAATACTAAGTTTCTTCAAGCTGCAAGAGAAAGAAAATTATTTTTTCTATTGCTTCTCAAAACCAGATGATGTCTCCAAATACTACAGAAATTGTTTCTTTTTGTGTTCAAATGAGTTCAGACCTAAACTAATGGAACTCAGTCATGAATCATAAATAGTGATTGAAATGATCATTGTTTTGCTGATAGTTCAGTCAAAACCCAATTTTCTCTTTCTTGTAAATACTATGCATACTTGACAAAGAGTCTTTATTTTTCATAGCAAGGAAATGTTTGTTTGAATAAATTAACTGGATGAGAATGTCCTTTGGATTCTGACCTGTGTTTAACATTTTCTAGTAGCAAAGTGAAACACTGCAGATGATCCCTTCGACAAATGATTCTGTACTTTGTCCATGTAGCTACGAATAATGTCCACATTATTAGAGACAAACTTCATATTTTTCCCCTAATTCAGGAAATGAGAGCATACTGGTAGCAAAAAAACCAGGGATCCTGCCTAAAAAAATCCCTTTGATATAAATCAAAAGTGCTTGCCCTTATACCTATGCAGTAGTCAGAGTTTATAGATTTGGTAATGGAGCCCAATACAAATCTGATGCAAACTGTGATTTAATCATCAGAATATATGTCCTCGTTTTAAGAAACTTCATGAAGAATATCTGCTACAGCATTTAGTGAAATAGATTATCACCTCTAGCAACCAAAACCAGCACACAAAATCAGATTATTTTATCATGAATAAAATATACTTATCTTACAAAGGGCTCTTGTACCCCTAGCTCTGCTTGTTTGGTGGTTTTGATGTCTGTCTATGTCCTTGTATGTTTGCAACTCAATTATTCAGTTCTCACCATAAAGAGAGACGTATCTGCACAGTACCATTCATGAGTGTCTTGCAAACAAAACCAAAATGTTTTGCTGTTTTTGAATAGTGTCCTTGCTTCATTTTGCAAGTCAGTTTTGGAATAAAGACCAACTATTTAAGCAACTTTCCAGTGGTTTTCATTAAGCAAAATATTATTATATATTATACTTTAATTTCCACACTGACATTTGTCGGTCTTGGATAGAGCTGATTTACTGCAAACTTCCATATACTGTAGATGAATTTAAACAATAATCTATGCTTGAATGCAGGTTGTGTTTCGGTAATGTTGGGACTGTGGGAAATAAAAGATTTAAAACAGTGCACTTTTTGGACTTTTAACAATCTGCTTCAGTGTCACTTTATAAAAGATTGATAATCCTTGTCTGATATCTGGTAAGAATTGGGTTAAATTCCTGATTTATGTAGGGAGGAACTCCTGCAGCCATTGCCAGGGAACAACTACTTGAGGCTTGGGCTGCCTGCAGTCAAGTAATTAGTCTAACTGAATAGCAGAAGTTCTAGTAGGAGATTACTAATTAATTTAATTGACATCCTAAACCAGTTTAACAGAAGGGAGGAGGAATATAAACCAACAGCAGGGAAAGAGCTGATGGTAGAAAATAACAAAGGGTTAGATAAATGAGTTCCCTATATGGTTTGTGTGCTTTAAATCTACTTCTCTGAGAAAAGCCTATGATTGAATTTATGGCTGTCTGGCCTTCTGTCTCTCTGCCTAAGAAACAATTGTTGTTTTCAAAATTTTGATGTGATGTTGTCTAAAGCTTCTATGTATTCTATTTAAACTTGGGATAATCCATTCCTTGCTCTGGAACTTGAATTAATTGTGAGTTCACTTTCCTCTGCAAATGCTCATAATAATGGTTAGTACAGGAGACTGAGCTAAAATCTGGAGGAGAAGGATGATCCAGTCGTTAGGGCACTAGCATAGGACTTGGGATCTGGTCTCTGTTGCACTACAGATTTACTGTGTGATCCTGTTGGGCAAGTGAATTGGCCTTTCTGTGCCTTGGTTCCTCATCTGTAAAATGAAGCTAATAGCACTTCCATACTTCATAGGAGTGTTGTAAGGATAAATAAGTTAAAATTGTGAGGTGCTCAAATACTATGATAATGAGGGGGGCATATAAGTATTTAAAATAGCTAGCTATTGCATGACTTTGAACAAATCTTGTAACTGCTCTCTGGCTCAATTTCTTAATATTTAAGACAGGAATAATAGTTAACTATTTTTGTAAAGTGCTTTGAGACTTTTAGATGGAAGTATTATTATTGACTGTTTCACTTGTAGGCTCTCTACTGCACTTCTTATTTAGGAATCTTTGCTGATTTGGACACTAATTGTAAACAGTCACACTCTGAATGCACCTCTCTCAGCTAAGAGTTCCTATCCTGTAATGATCATCAGCTTCATAGAATATACTGTAATTATTATACTATATTTATAATAAACTGATTAAGCCAATTGAACTAGGATTTAAATCAGAGTAAGCCGAACCGGGGGGAAGGGAAAGCCACAGACTATCATAGCTTCAGGTAACTGTTTAAGTATGAAGTATTCTTTCATTTGCAATGCATCTGTTCTTCTGTACTACCACAACTCACACTTAATACTTTATTTTGATGTAAAACTTGGTCATAAACTTTGAACAGATAAAATGAAAGTCCTTTTGCCAAAGAACACAGTGTAACAGCATTGAAAACTGGCATTTTAGCTTTGGTTAACAAGCTATTTTAGCCACAAGGATCATCAAAGCCGCGAAGAACAGCTGAAGCTTTACCAATGATAAAATTAACTTCCCCATTACATGTTTCTCTTTTTAGTAGCCAGTCATCAAGGATGTTAATCTCTGTCTATATTAGGGAAGGATTTAACTTCCTGTCCATTCCAGTTTTCTTTCCACCCCCGCAACCATCACATGTGTCTATGAGAGAATAATCCCCCAGAAGGCTAAATTGTGTTTTTTAGTCAAAACAATCACTTTCCCAGATTTCAACAACCTATTATGGATTAGAAAACATTTAATCAAGAATCTGCTTAATCCTATAACAGTTTGCAGAGTTTGCCTGAAATTATACCATCAAGGGTGGAGTTTGCCCTGTCTGATGGAAGACTTTGGGTGTTCAGCTTCCTAAACTCACCAGTCCCTCTAGCTCTGGGGGCATCCTCAGGAGGCTTCTACACTGTTACAACCCCCATCCAATAGGGCCTTGCACTCTGTTCTCAGCACAGGTCTTGCAACAGTCACTGCACGAGTGGGAGTTGAGGGGTCCATAGCACAGGGAAGAAGCTGTATTATTTACTGCAAACTTTGTCTTCAATAACTTGGAAGCATGCTGTGGAGACTGGCTGGCCCCCAGTCCTTCACCTTCCTTAACTGTGGATATAGATGCCCAGGAAGCCCCCACATGTGGTTTAGGCAAAGAGGGGAAACTTGTCAGAAACTTGTCCCATCTGTGTATTTCTGAGCCAGATCCATAGATGAAGGCACCCTTCAGGAAGCAGAAGTGGGGGAAAGTATGGATTCCTCTGCTGTTCTGAAATTGTGGTCCATGAAAAACTGCAGATCTGCAGAGCACTGGCTAACAGTTTGTGGAGAGTGGGCAGGTCACATGATTTTGGCTCCTCCAACTTGCGAAGAGGAGGCTGAATGTATGTCGAAACAGCTGGCAACAAAGAGGAGGATATAGCCCAGCTGCCTCAATAAAGGGCATAACTATGTAGGCGGGGAAGGGACTGAAGGCACAAGTGTGAATGGGGTTTCCAGCAAAAGAAGGGTCAAGAGTTGCTAATGGGACTGGAGAAGAGGAATGTCCAGGAAAGCAAGACAAAGCAAAGGCATACAGCATGTCCAGAGGAGGACTTTAAGACTAGGCAGCATATTTTTCTTGTCCCCCAAACAAGAACCAGATGCAAAAGAAGAGTATGACTAGGGAGAAGCAGGAAAAGAAGAACAGAACAGATGGGAAGGGAAATAGCATGATTAACTTTTTTTAAAAGGACAAAGCGCTTATCATACTATAGATAGCTAAAAACACAACAGTGCTTCCCCAATGTTACTTCAACAAATGAAGCAATTGCTGTAGTTGCTACGGGGAAGCTGCACAATCACTGCTGATAGGGAAGACACAAGACATTTTCTCTACTGAGATGTGATCCATACTGTGAAAAAGATTGAAACCCCTCCATTATGTCATACGCAGTTTCTTTCTCTCCAGCAAAGAACCTTGATGATCTGCAGAAGTTGACACTGGAAGAGTAAAGATGTTTGTAAGAGAAGCAGACAAATGGATGTTCAAGGCATCACTGGCAAAGCAAGGGGTGAGGCAATAAGTGACAAAAATAGATGAGTGGTGAGGGGCAAAGTTGTGAAGGGTCTTGAAAGTGGGGACAAAAAGTTTGAGTTTGATGCAGTGGAAAATGGGGAGCCAGTGGAGGGATTCAAAGAGCATTTGACCATTGTGTCAGGTCAGGAAGGTGATCTTAGCAGCTCCATTTTGAATGGATTGAAGTGAGGCAATTTGTGTCTAGGAAGTCAGAGAAGAGGTTGCAGTAGATGATAATGAGGACAATGCTTTGGTAATTGCTATTCTTTTAATTAATAAACAAAAGTCCCTCCTATGTTGAAAAGTTTTTGGGGCTGCAGGGGTGTTAGTGTGGAAAATAAAATCTGGTTCATTCACTTTTATCCACATAGCATTTGTGCATCCTTAGTAGACTTTGTTACTGTATTAAAATAATACTTATTCTGTCACAATGTAGAAAATCTATTCTTTTACATGTTTGGAAGAAATATACATCATTTATTATCCAAGCCATTTAACAGTTCATGAAATAAGTAGCTGCTACTGTAATCACTGCTTTGCTGGCTCCATTAACCTGCACAAAAGCCAGTTTCCAGCTAAGGTGTGAATCCATTCCAAAAATCAATGTGGTGTCGGATATTAATTAGCCTTTGTAATGTTTTGGAATAAGATACGGTGCATTTTTTGTTCTTGGGTACATGCATATCTCCTATATGAAGAAGAAGAAGAAGACTATAGAATGATTTCCAAAAGACTTTGTTTTTATTTGACTTCAAGTATCCCTAAGCAATTCATCCTCACCCACGCATTTTGCTAAGGGATTTGTGAGTGAACATGTGCTTCCAAGGGATTAGTGTGCCAGTAAAGTTTTTTCCCAATACCATTTTAAACCATCTGTAATCAACATTCCTCCATTCATTGGTGTTTGGTTTTCTTTGTTTGTATTCCCATAACACCTAGTTATGCTAGGTACTGCACAAACAGAAGAAAAAGATGATCCCTGTCCCAAAAAGCTGACAAACATTGGTCAAATATCATTTCTTATTGTGGACTATTATTCACCCATTTAATTTACAAATATGAACTCTGAGTTACATTTTTAAAGGAGATTCATTTGCCTCAAGAGTTAGTGTAGAGAAATTAGATGCCCAAACTAATATTAACCCGTTTACTGCAATTGTATTTATGTTGTAACACGTGATACAAGCTTCTACTCTCCGACCCGCTTAGTGGATATTGTCTCTAATATTCTGCTCTCTTTTCATGTGTAGAATCCCAAACGACGTTAATGGGAGACTGTGGAGGGAGAAAAGGATATTACTGTAGAACTCTGCCATGTGAATCTTAACAGAGAATTTTGCTCTTATATTTTTGAGTATCATTATTATCCTAATGGTATCAGTGCAACACAAATTTATTATTAATAGCCAGGCTTAGCTAACTTGGAAACATGATATAAATTTGGATAGTTTCTCAGCAGCAAATGTTGAGTGTAAAATGTAAACTTGCACAGATTAAGAGAACCTAATACAGTATTTTATTTACAGCTTTGTCAGAGTTTCTGTTTAATGCAAACGAAAGAACAGGTTAGAGTAAGCACTTCTTATTCAGGCAAACATAAGGAGTGCAGGATCCAGGCCTC